GCGTATCACACACAAAAACAATTACTTCTCAGAGTGAAACTCGATTGCATGGCACAATCTTAGTTTGAAGCTCTTTCAACGAATGAATCAACATTCCTATAGACCTCGTTGAGCTGAGTTTAATGGTGCTTTCAAATTCCGAAAAACTCACCGTTAAATTGACCTACAACGAAAAAAGTGAAAAAAAACTCTCGTGTGAATTTTTGAAGTTAATGGCGAGCACTGTAGTTCAGTAGCGGTTGACGGGCGTGATATTCAAAATAGGGGAGAAAGTAGTGGGAAGAAGGACACCAGTCACATCTCGATAACTTGTTTTATTTTTTCCTTTCACTTGCCGCTACGCAAATATGTATACAGGCACCTTCAATTAGTCCTGGAGGGCTATTGTGGGCTTTAGTATGATTGATACGAGTGTTCTGACCTTTAGACCTCTTGCTTGAAATATCCTTATGTCGGCAGGTACTTTGTCCCCACCACTTATTTCGACTATGTCACCTAATACAACTTCTTCAACCTTCACATCAACCAATCGACCATCGCGAATAACCTGAATATGAAATATCAGTTAAAATGTTGAAAGAGAGGAATGATCAAAAACTTACGTGAGCCATGGATGGGATCATGTTAGCAAACGAACTCATAATGTTCCCACTTTTTGCCTCTTGATAGAACGAAAACAATCCGGTGATGGTCACTACCGTAGCCAGGGTGATCGCCAAATACAACTTCAAATTCACAGATTAACAAGCCTTATAACAAGTTTCACTAATATGTAGTACCGAAGTACGAATCAGAATAGTACGAATCTATCGAAAAACTCAAAGCCTACATTATCCGCTTTTGTTTCCTCGCCGTATTCTTGTTTTTCCATGATGTACCCAACGAGCGATGCTATTGACGCCACCCACAGAAGCATGTTGAAGCCTCCTGAATAACGTGACCATAAAAACTAGCGACCATAAAAGTGGACCTGCCTGGATTCTACGGTTTATCGAAGCAATACTTTTCAGAAATTCTCGCAAAAGCTCCCAAGTTTTGTTCAAGAGCTTTTTACAATAGTAATACAAATTTTAGTCGATAGCTCAATGCCGGTAGTTGTAATACACGGGTAGGGATCAGACGCAAGAGCCAGTCTTTCCTATAGTGAGTGGTCCCCAAGCGCAGGAACGTGAAACCGTCGCGACTCAAAAATGTGAGGCAAACGGCACTACGGAGTTGCCTTGTGCGCCGCCGTGCTCGATGCATAGATAGTGCGTACAACTTATTAATATTTCGCGTTTTCGCTTTCCCTCGGCGCTGTCACCCTCATGAGCACGGCCAACCTCAGTAGCGGAATTTCAATTTCTATTAGGTTGGAAAGAAAGTCCTGCAACACTTTTTCAAATTTTTGATTTTAATTTTATCTTTTTTGGTTACAACTTCTGACCGGTCTTATATCTACCATGAGTGTCCACCACTTGTCTCCATCGCTCAGAAAATTTCTTGATCCTCCTCCGCCAAAACCCAGCGCGAGTCGAGAAAGGAGGCGACCTCACTTTCGAGTTGGAGTTGATCGTCTGATTATTTCGTTATAAAGATGATGATTAAAGGTCCAGGATAGGTAGCACTTATTTACAGCTCGACCAGGGGATTACGCTAAGAGAGGAAAGAAATCTTGCCGCAACTCCAGAATTTCTTACCGGGCTCATTTCGGATCATGGTGATTCGCAATGTCATGAAAGAAATGAATATTGTCGCGGTACGAGGGCTCTTGACGAGCTACCTCGGCCAGCTTCTGGTACTCCACAACCTAGGCCACTGCCTACACAATGGTGCCCATAACGAAGGGTATGTAGTGGAGCTTCTGTAAGAGCCCTACCTGTAATGGAGTGTGAGGGATGCTGCTGGCTTCTTATAAAAATATCAAAAGATCGGAAGCGCTGGTAAAGGTGAAACACGCTGTATCGCTGAACGGCATGCCATTAGAAGCTATTGCAGATAGTGTCAGTCGTTGACACGAATCCATGGTTTTGTAGACATTTGTACTAGACAGTGACTCGGAGTACGGATTTGCTAGTGGTCGAGATTTTTTTTGAA